TTAAGATTCTCTCTCTCTCTCTCTCTCTCTCTCTCTCCCTCCCCCCCGCCCCTCCCCTGTATGTGCGTGTGTGCTCATGCTCTCCCTCTCTTTCAAAAAAGAAATCTCGTTTTCAAATGAAAGCTAATAACTGATGTTAATTGTTTCATTTTTAAGATCAGAAGGACTCTAACCTACAAATGCTACTCTTACCAGAAGTTTCAAGGGCCTCTAAAATAGAAATGAGAGAATTTTTAAAAAGTATTACCTTAGACAACTCCCTGCCACTTAGAGGACCAAGTCTTTATAAGTGAAGATAAACGATGTCTGGAATTTTAAAAAGTCTTACTGAAAAAATACTAACTTTTATTTTTTTATTTTTTTCATTTTTATTTGTTTTTAAATTTTTTAATGTTTTTGTTTATTTTTGAGACAGAGAGAGACAGAGCATGAGCAGGGGAGAAGCAGAGAGAGAGGGAGACACAGGCTCCAGGCTCCAAGCTGTCAGCACAGAGCCCGACGTGGGACATGAACTCACAGACTGTGAGATCATGACCTGAGCCAAAGTCAGACGCCCAACCGACTGAGCCACCCAGGTGCCCAATACTAACTTTTTTTTTTTTTTAATTTTTTTTTTCAACGTTTATTTATTTTTGCGACAGAGAGAGACAGAGCATGAACGGGGGAGGGGCAGAGAGAGAGGGAGACACAGAATCAGAAACAGGCTCCAGGCTCTGAGCCATCAGCCCAGAGCCTGACGCGGGGCTCGAACTCCCGGACCGCGGGACCGCGAGATCGTGACCTGGCTGAAGTCGGACGCTTAACCGACTGCGCCACCCAGGCTCCCCCAATACTAACTTTTAAAATAAGACAGAGAGGTCAGATATTTCACTTTTAAGCTGAAAGAGGAAAATGATGCTCAAAGTCATACAAAAGCTGCAGGGTTTGCAAACTCAATGAATGTCTTTGGGGCTAGAAGGAAACGAATCGAAGAAGTGTGTGCCACCCTGAGTATAGTCCATTAAAACGGACTAGCCACCATCCAGTTCCAGCCAACTGCAATTCCATGCAGGAATATAAGCCCAGTGTGGCAAATCTTCTTTTCAATCAGATAATTATGCAACATTTTTCCAATTTTTAAATATTAATTTTTATTATAAAAATCTTTTTTTTTTTTTTCAACTTTTTTTATTTATTTTTGGGACAGAGAGAGACAGAGCATGAACAGGGGAGGGGCAGAGAGAGAGGGAGACACAGAATCGGAAACAGGCTCCAGGCTCCGAGCCATCAGCCCAGAGCCTGACGCGGGGCTCGAACTCCCGGACCGCGAGATCGTGACCTGGCTGAAGTCGGACGCTTAACCGACTGCGCCACCCAGGCGCCCCTTTATTATAAAAATCTTAAGGAAAAAAAGTCCTGGTTAAGAAGAGGGGTCAAAAAAAGTCTATCACCCACATGTAGGCAGGCAGTTTATGACATGAGAACTAGTCGTCCACGTCCTGGTCTAGTTCTGCTCTCGTATTACTTGATATAAATATCTTAAATAAAATGCTTAGCATTCAAGGAAATTCAACACTAGAAATATTAACCATTCCTGGAAATAGACTTTGGACCTAGAAATGGTGTCTGTGGAGTTTTAGTGGGGAAAAATGGGAAGAAAAGACATGGTAGAACTCTACAAACGTTAGAAAGAAAACAAGTAACCTCCCATCATTTTCTGTTTGGGACTTACAAAGTGAAATGTTAGAAGGTTCTTCTTTTTATCCCTAAAGCTTGAATGCTAGAATGGGCTGAGTTACGATGTCACATGGAAAACTGATCATTGGTTAGAGTATGGTTTCTGAATCTTCTGATGAGGTACTAAGCTCTTTGGGAAATACCACCATACCTCTGACAAGATTTCAAGAAAAGCAACAAAGAATAATAATTGCAAAGCACACAATATAACCAGGATAAATCTGCTGAAAAGAAGAACTGTTTTCTTTAGAAATGATGTGCTGCTAGTCAGTAGTCGCTAAGGGTCTGGTTAAAACTGAAATCGAATTTAACTAGCCATAGTCAAGTGTCACTTTAAAAGGCAAGTCAATTTGACCAGATCATTCTGAAAAAGAGCATTACTCCCTTTCCTCTGTCACTTGTGACCCAGAGAAAACAAATATCTGATTTATCTATAGCTTTAAAAAAAATAAGAAAGACCTATCAATTTCACATAACCTTAAAACTCTACCCAAACTGACATGTTCAGGTTTACATAAATATATACACATATATATTTTTTAAATTCCAGAGGTCAAGACACAAGCCCATAGGGGTGTGTGGCCACCGTGGGCCAATCATGTCACTCTGGCTACTGTAGGACCATCATGAGGTGGGTGGGTCTCTGTCCTACACTTAGAGCTGGCAGCTTTTAACACCCTTCCCATGAGGAAATCTTTGACTTTTGTTCAAAACATCTGAACAAAACTCACCTCTGAACTAACAGAGATATGTTAACAGGACACCTGGCACAAAAGGACTAAGACAAAGTGGTTCGTAAACAGTCTCTCAGGCTGTCAGTCATCTAGACACAAGTGAGTCAGCATCCACGGTGTTCAGAAGGTAGAGTTCAGGCTGAGCTGTCAGTCCCAGATGGTACTAAGGACAAAAAAATGAAAAAGGGTTAGACTGATGTGCAAGTATTTGTTATTCTTTTTCTATGTCTATTTCTGAGAGACAGAGGGAGTGCACACGTGAGCGGGGGAAGGGGGGAGGCAGAGATGGGGACAGAGGATCTGAAGTGAGCTCCAGGCTGACAGCAGAGAGCCGGAGAGCTGGAGAGCCAGATGCGGGGCTCAAACTCACAAACTGATCATGACCTGAATGGAAGTCAGGCGCTTAGCCAACTGAGCCACCCAGGCAGCCCGGATTTACGAGTATTTAAATACTGAAACTGGCACACGAGCACCTATAATCAGCACATCGGTATACGCCTTTTTTCAGTACTGCTATATTGATTTTTATTTCCGAAGAGAAATGGCTTACAGAAACGGTTTACATAAAATACTAGCTTGGAGCTGAATGAAATAGTTAAGAACTGAGATAATGCCAAGCGCCCTCATGAAATCTGCACTTTGACTATTCTTGTGACACACTTGTTCCAGAGGGGTGCTTGCTGGCGACAAGGACGAGAGCAAACAAACACTCTGAGCACTTTTGTATTCTAGTACTGTGTTTTAGAAATCAAATAAGCTCTAAATAATTAAAATAAATATTAGAATCAAATACTAATTCTAACTCTCGAGCTCACTCTAACTCCTAAGCCCAATATCCAGGCCCCATGATCTTCTGGCACCTGAGCCAATTCTTTCCCTAAAAAAAAAAGAAAATAGCACGTGTTGTTTTTCTCTCCTCTGCACACCATCGTGAGATAATCACTGAATCTCACTTTAGCCCTACTGTTATTAGTTAGGGCTTTAGGAATGTTATCACCCCTTGGCATCAACAACCTGTGATGTAGACTATGAATCCACAGGAGGAAAATATTCCTATTATAGCACAGTGGAAAAGGCACCAGAGTCGAGTTCAAGCTCCAACTCTGCCGCTACCTGTGACCTTGAGCAAGTTCATGTATCCTTTCTGGAGCCTTATCCTACTTATTTGTAAAATGGGAATAAATGCTACATTTGAAAATGCCAAGTACGCTGATATGCTGTGTTAGTCTTCAACAAATAGGATTTTTTAATGTTTATTTTTTAACGTTTGTTTGTTCATTTATAGAGGCAGAGAGAGAGAATCCCAAGCAGGTTCGCATTCTCAGTATAGAACCGGTTGCAGGGCTCGAGCCCACGAACCGTGAGATCATGACCTGAGCTGAGATCAAGAGTCGGATGCTTAACTGATTGAACCACCCAGGCACCTCGACAAATGGAATTTTTTAACACATTACAAATTGCCCTGTATACCTCACAAGCTTCTGATGACCCCGTGGACACCAAATGAACCCCCAAATAATTCTAGGCATAGTGAGCTAGGAAATTACTAACAGTGGCCTTAGGGCAGAGAAACAGCTCTTCAGACAAGCCTCTTTATTCATTTCAGGGTCTTCCATTTCAGGTTTTAGTAACCAAGAGCAACTGTCAGATACACTATAAATTCATTGCTGCCTTTTCACAAGAGACCTGAGCTGGTGGGCTTCCTCATTACGTAATAAGCAAGAGTTGCCTTATTAGTCCTGTGATCCCCAGACTCTTAGAGGACTTGTTAGGGTTCCTTCACTGGAGGAGTCTGTCATATTGTTGGGAGACACTGAGAAGTGGCGCGGAACGGCACAGGAATAGGCTAACTGCTGTCACAGGGGCAGAGAGGTAATGCAAATGAGTAAGCTTCATAGTTCTTAGCTACTCCTGGGGTAGGATCAGAGAGGGCCCTGTCCACCTTCTGTGCCCACCAAAAAGCATTCAAAGTTGTTCCAAATTTAACACAGGCCAAGCAAAATTAGTCTGTCAGTTGGCTAGAGTACGAATCTCTCACTAATCGGAGTATCAAGCAAGATGCTCTGACGTGTTCCTGTAATGCCAGACACCAAAGCTTGGCATCTTAACCTGAAATGAAGAGTGTACTACGTATTACACAGGACGGTTCGGTAATGGCAACGTGGACTCTGGAGTTTAGCTATTCAAGTTGACATGCCAGCTGCTCATTTACCCGTGATGTGATTCGAGGAAGTTAACTTTACTTTTTGGCCTTCCAGTTGCCTCATCGATGTAGAGGCCGATCCTCTTGTTGTAACAACTGAATGAGGTCCTAGGAGTGCTCAGACCAGGACGAGCACATGGGGGTCAGTGTCAGCCGTTTTTAACCTTCATAAGCTAAGGTGCCAAGGGAAGCTGACACATTTAGATTCATTGGCCCTACCTATCGAATAAAGGAGTAGAAAGCATTCCAGAGGGCAGAGCTAAAAGAAATGTCTCAAATCAGGATCTTCAAACTACTGCATCCTATTCTAGTTTGGAAAGTAAACCCAAAGAGAAGAAGGGAGAGCTAAACGAGGAAGGACAACATGGAGAACAGAATTCCCAGATTACTTCTATGGTGTTACAGTATTCAGCTCCTATAAGACAGGCAGAAAAGCTTATGACAGAGAAAGGGAAAATGAAGTTCAAGTGACAATCTTGGAATAAATCAAGTGTTCACTTAGATTTTCCTGTCATTTGTACGGTGACAGGGCTAGTAGTTTATTAGGCCTGAGCTTCGTCTTTGTTTTCATTAAATGGCGCCAATGTTTCCGTTTATATCCGTTCCACCAAGATGCTTTCAATTTTTAAGCTAAACAATTTTGGTTTCTCTTTTCAAACACTTATACTTTTTATGGGCAGCATACATGGAATATAAAGGCCTATTCCAATGGTGAAACAAGACTACGGACAGAAAAATGTTCAGCTTAGAGCAAAGAAAGGCTGAATGACAATTTTTTTTCGAGTTTAAATAAGGCAATGATGTGACCTTTAGCAACAGCAAGACAAACAGTATGTGACTAAATGGGCAGATTGATATTCGTGTTTGCTGTCTGCAGTTCATCAAGTCTTCTGGGGACTAAAGCTATTTATACCTCCATCCCTTCACAAGAGAAAATCACTAACACTGTGGGCTTAATATGTCAATCCAGGTGGCGGCTGATGTTTCAGTATTTCAGAAGTTAAATATTTTCAAGGTGAAAAAAAATACCCAGGAAACCAAACAGGAAAAAGAAAAAATTTTTAATTACAAACCAAGTTTACATACTGTTAAGTGGTCACTAACAGCTCAGTTGTCACCACTTGGAATACGACTAGCAGGACCTCACAGGAGCCAAACTACAGCTCGTCCCCATCCCTATGAATTCCCAAGATGCTGTACCAGCACAATTATTTCATGTCACATTTCTGGAGAACAAGGACGGATTTACATAAGGTACAATTGTATATCCTTAACATTCCACACACACACACTGCACATGCTGGCACCGGAAGACTTCATAAGCATTGTTTATTGCACCCAGAGTACTGGCTAAAGGACACTCTCTAAGAGGATCAAATGGAATATGGTTTGGGAGTGCTTTTAACACTGTAAAACACTCCACACGTAGTATTATAAAATGCCACTTAAGTGGGAAGAAATTTTCCATCATCGTTAAGTCATAAATAAAACTTTAAAAAAGAAAATAAGCAGCTTTACTTGAACTTCTAAATACATTTTGTGAATCTGAGACTGACTGGGCCCACCAGACTCAGGGCAAAGGGAGGTGTCACTGTACTGTCTTTACAAAGAATTTTTCTTGTCAATTTTGCCTTCACCTAGCACAGCCAGATGAGAGATAAAGATGTCAGTCTCCAACATCTTCACAGAGTGCTCTTATGACCAGGCATGACGATAGGGAGAGGGGAAGATGTGAGGAGGAACAGTTGGGGAAATTTGTCTTTCATGATCCTGTCAGATATTACTTGAGGGACTAAGAGAAGGTATAGTCAGTGAAACAGTAGTTTATCCTTAATGCCTTATGAAAAACAATCCATCCAGTCTGTGCTTTTGACTGTGTGCAAAATATGAGCAATAATGCTTTCAGGGGCTGAGATGAATACATAATATCAATCAACCAGGACTCCAGAAGGAAAGCTCCAAAAAACGAGAAGTCCTTCAATGCCATTCCCGTTACTGTTCTCACCAAGTCAATGGCTATAAAAGACTTGATTATTTATCTCCACCAGACAAATGTGATTTGATTTGATATAATCACACAATCTCAGGCTCCACATGTAAAAGTATCAGAAGTGGCTGAAGAGCAGCAGCTTCATGCCGAAGGGACCCATTTCCTCTGACTCCAAAGCTCCACCATCTGGTCTCAAAATTTTTCCCTCTGAGGGAATGGCTGAAGAGAGGTAGCCCAGCGCAACCTTGCTGAGAGAACTCTGCAACCACAGTGATACCTACTGACTTGCTGAGGGAGAGAGAAAGAGCTTTGCAACAGTTAGGTCCGCAGCTCCTGAGATTGCCTTGCAAGTGGTCTTGGGCATGCTTCGGAAAAACGTGACAGTTCTGGTAGGAGATGGCTTTTAGGAATAAAACAGATGGCTCTTCTTTTCCTTTCAGTCTTTTCTCCTCATTCCAAAATCTCATGAGAACGTCAGTTCATAAATGCTACCATCTTTTTCTATAGCCAACTTCCTGGATGAGGAAGGTGAAGGTTTTACAACTGTATGCACTCAAAGAGGAAGTATCAACGGGAAAGCTCGGTACTAAGATGAAACTTATGAAAATCAGGACTCCCAAGAAATTCCTGATAAGCTTTCCATCTCTGAGGAAAATCTGCTCAGTGATGTTCCAAGGTGATTAATAACCACCACCTGCATGTCAGCTTTGCTATTTGTTCATTTATCACCTTCTAAATTTATGCTTTCTCATCCCTCTTAACTTCCACCAAAAATTTAAAGTGGAAAGAAGTTAAAAGAACCCTGAACCTGAAAGAGGTAGAGATGTCTCACAATTTTATATTTAATATGGATGACACCACCTTAGGTGAGTTTTTTTTTTTTTTAATAATTAAAGTAACTGAAAGGGTATGGATAAGAAAAGTATTTCTCAGCCTCTTAAAATCCAGAATCTTTTGATAAACAAAACCTGCATACCTATTCTATAATTTGTATTATGAAAAATTATTACATTTTCCAATTTTTTTTTTTTAAACACACAGCCTAGTTAAGAATCATGCCTACAGGATTCTCTCTCAAAAGGATAAAACAAACTGGCCCTTAGGCAGCTACTTAAAATTTTAGTGTTGGAATGATAGCAGCAAATGTCAGCTTTTCACAGATCCTATCTAATCCAGTTCCCAGGTTAGGAGGTCAGGAAGAAAAAAATTCCATCTTTCAAACATATATTGAAACAAAGTCTTTCCCAACAAACAGTTGAGTCTTAAATGAAGTCTGTGCAACAGCACATACTTTTGTCTATGTTCACACAGTAAACCATAGAAACACACTGGCTCTGATGGCTACCTGTGGAGGACAGACAGACTGATCCAGTGTTTACTTAGTATAGCCACCGGTGGCTTCTTCGGTCAGCAGGACTTTAGAGATGCTTACCGTGTGCCCACAGTCCAGGAAGGACATGCCCAGTGCAATCAAACATTGCCAACCCTGAAAGATAAAGTATGGCCATCATTCACCAGCCTCTCTGAAGAGCCCTCTTACCCACCATGACTGCTCACGCCTCACTGCTCAGACACAAACCTTCTCTCTTCCTTGCATATCCAGCTTTGCTCATCTCCTACCACCAAGGTTGCACAGTCATTCTCCCAACCCCACAGCCCCTTCAAAACATCCTGGAGTTTGCCTTCCTCGGCAACGTTTTTTTCCATACTATTTTCAATACTGAGCTCCCTGCTCCTACCGCTTTTCGTTTGTCGTTTGTTTCTTTCATCCGACTGGGAGTTCCCTGAAGACCCCATTCCTCATGATGAAGGTGGAGGCGGAGGGAATGACGGACAGACTAATACAAATGGAATAGTATCCTGAACTGCTCTACGATGTCCATGTTTTGGGGGCTTCATAGCAGTAACCCACCCTGGAATCAGCCCTCACCCTTAAAATGGGTCTTCAACAATCTCGACAGTCTCAGGGTGACTGAGGACAACTCGGACCCTCCATACACAATTTGCAGGAAGGAAAGATTCCTTTAACTTCTACGGTGAATTTTTAAAATATTTCCTGTCAAAGACACGTTCAATTACTTGGATTTCCTTAGAGTAAATCCCTAGAACATAGGCTCAGCATAATCCTAGTGTGCCCCAGGTTTACTGGGGAGAAAAAAAAGAAAAGCTGTATCAGTCCAGGACATAATTTTTCAATAGTCACTAAAGCAATTTTCTCAATCTAGTACCTAACCTGTGGCAAACACTGGTATGGGCATTAGTTAAATGTTCAAAAGATCGGGTTTCCAGCCTCTGTCCTTAACCATTCTCTGCAGCAGATATGGTATAAATTCTGCTGCCCCTAAATTCCTCCAAACATGAATTTTTCAGAGAAACCTGTATGGAACAGGGAGGTGGATTTGTTGTTTTTATTGCTAGAACTATTTCCATTACTATAAGTAATATGACAGAACATTTGGGAAATAGAGAAAAGAATGTATCTATGATGGTACCATCTTTTTTTTAATGTTTATTTATTTTTGAGGGGGGGGGATGCAAGTGGGGGATGAGCAGAGAGAGAGAGGGACACAGAATCTGAAGCAGGCTCCAGGCTCTATGCTGACAGTAAACAGCCCGACTCAGGGTGACCTCATGAACCATGAGATCATGACCTGAGCCGAAATTGGACGCTTAACAGACTGAGCCACCCAGGCACCCCCATGATGGTACCATCCGAACATACCTATCATCATGTTCACATAATCTACCCTAGACTTTTGAGAAGGAACTTGATTATCTCGGAACACATTACCCCGTATTCATTTTCTGTGTAGTTACGATTTCATAACCATCATTTTTAAATCACTCTAGAGTAATTCAATGAGCGAGTATCACTGTTATTTCTTTACGAGACAGTTATTAAATGGCAGAGCTGAGCAGGGCCGTGAGCTCACGTGTATCCCGCCCCAAAGCTCTGACATCTCACCAACCCCATCTCGTACTGCCCTCTACTTTCTATACTGCTCTTCTTTTAATTCCTCAAACACAGTACACTCTCTTATTAGGAATTACTAAGAAAGGAAACCAGCAGAAGTGACAGGACAGCTCTTAGGAGTCTAAATTTTATGGTTAAAAATATTGTTTAACCACAGCTGACGTTATTAACAATTTCATGTAAACTGTTCCAGTAACCTGGAGATAAGAAGGCTATGTGCTCTTTTGAGTCCTTTCATTTTGGTATCAGTAAGCCCCGTCTCTACCAACTCTGATACATATACCCCTACTCCCTCCTGAATGGACTTACCAAGTATAACACAAAGCTCAGATAAGCCACACTGACCACAGCAGCTACCACATACAATGCCACATGCCCTAGTTCCTGGACATAAACCATGACAAAGTACATGTTGATGGAACAGACGATAAGGACCAAGATCCCGCCTGCAATCCTCCAGCCTCTGTAAAAGAATCAGCAATCATTGGTGGAATAGTCCAACCTATCTGTAAGCAGAAAAGGACACTCGGTCTTGTGGGGCAGACAGGACAGGAGTTAAGAGGCATTTCAAAATGAACTGAAAATTGTCTTATTATGTCCCAATTAAATGAGCCAAATAGACACCAGTAGGGAGAAAGAGGTGGGGGAAATACTATCAAATAATCCCTGATATTTAAGTCCCTAAAAATGCAACAAGCCCGGAGTTCCTAGAGATGCAACAGACAATTTCAAATGCCCCACACTCTTTAAAGATGCATATAAAAGGTATTAGTTTATGCCTTTCTCATTAAGATCATTTAACATGAAATTAAGGCAGCTTCAGTGGCTGCAGCTGAAGAATAAAACCCTAAGAGCTGATCTTTCTCTCCCCAAAAATGAAAAATTGCTTGCCTTCTTTTACTACATTCAGAGTCTCCATTTTCTAAGCCAAAGATTGAGGAGCACCTCAAGGAATCACCTCTCAAAGCATGTGGTTCCCTATATGACTCATTTTCTGACTGGCCTGTTGGATGCAGATACCATTTCCCCACATATTTTGGGGGAACTGAGAGAAGTACACTCACATTCCATTGGCAAAGTCACTCATTACTGGCCGCAAGCTCGTAAATGTGAGGATGGGTATGAGAGCAAAGGGAAGCTGGAAAAGAAAGAACAAAGATCAGACAGGACTACTGGAGATACTCATATTACCCAGCCCTGTTAGCAAAAGGGAAACACACACCCTGCTTCATCTGCCCCATGAGAAATTATTCCTGTCATCCCAACATGCTCATGCATTACGTTGAAATCTATAGAGGCATCATTAACTTAGCATCGATCATCATCCTTTGAGTCCTTAAAAACATTTGTTATCTTCCTTGTCTTCTTAACCTCCATAGGACCTAACCATGTCCTATGTTATTTATTATTTAATGTTTGCTTGGATTAAGAAACAATAATTTTATACTCTGTACGTAATTATAGCAGATAATTCCCATAAAACCAAACCATGTCCAAAAGATTTTATTTAGAAAAATGTTTTAAAATTCATTTGAGAGAGAAAGAGAGACAGAGAGAGAGAGAGAGAGAGAGAGAGAGAGAATAAACGGGGGAGGGGCAGAGAGAAGAAGAGACAGAATCTCAAGCAAGATCTAAACTGTCAGTGCAGAGCCGGATGCAGGGCTCAAACTCATGAACCGTGAGATCGTGACCTGAGCTGAGGTTAAGAGTCTGACGCTTCACTGACTGTACCACCCAGGCACCCTAAAAGCTTTCATTTATGCATTTATTTATTTTTGTTTGTTTGTTTATTTATTTTTGAGAGCAAATGGGGGAGGCGCAGAGGGAGAGGGAGACAGAGAATCCCAATCAGGCTCTGCGCTATCAGCATAGAGCTTGACTAGGGGCTCAAATCCATGAACAGTGATATCATGACCTGAGTTCAAGTCAAGAGTTGGATGCTTAACCGAATGAACCACCCAGGCATCCCTAAAAGGTTTTTAGATACCAGGGCCAAGACTCTGCCTCTTTCTTCCTCTCAATTTTCCCCAGCACCCAGCCCTATACACTCAGTACCTAGGGACAGCAATATATAATGCTGCCTGATTAAATGGAATGGGAGTTTCCTCAGCTCCTTCCTTACCTGTAAGCTCTGCAGAACATTCAGGAAGTCATTCATCCCTGTTAGATGCTCTACATCCTGGAAGATGGCAACAAGCAGAGTGGGGATGATGGCAATAGAGCGGGTCAGAATCACTCGGGCAAAGCGTGACCACTTTAGGTTCAGGAATCCCTGGAAGAAAACACAGCAGGATGAATGTCTAGAATAGGAAACAGAGAGAGGTCTGGGAAGCCCTTAGAAACATGGGAGTAAGAAGAAACAAAAGGACAATGTTTTCTTCCTCTAATGTATACCAGTCACAACAGCACATACCTCCATGACGAACTGGCCAGAATAGGTTCCTGTCATGGTAGAGCTCTGCCCTGCAGCCAGGATCCCCACTGCCCAGATGTAGAGTGCAGCAGGCCCAAAGTAACATCCCAGTACAACACCCTGGGAGAAGCAGGGAAGAAAGATGTTTGTGTCAATGATCTGCTTAGACAACACCCAAAACAGAATTCCTCTGCAGCATTTCTCCCTCTTCCTTCCTATGTACCAATCTACACCAAGTGCTGTGCTGGGAACTACCCCAGAAGCTAGACTCAGGACCTGTCCTCACTTCAGAGGCCCTCAACCTAAATTTTCCTGGATATTCCTTCACTCCTCTACCTCTTCTCCAAGTTCTTAAAGGCTTCGTCTTCAACATAGATTTTAAATATGTGAAAAAAAAAAGTCTATACCACATTTCTCAAATTATATTACTTAACACACTATTCTGGAAGATAGCAACAGGAGTGAAGAAAAAGGTCAAATAAATTTGGGAAGTGCTACATAAGCTCTGTGTTCTACTCTTGGAGGTTCGTAATGTAACCAACATAAAAGGGACTGAGAGGTCCCAATAAAGAATACTTTATCAGAAACACTTTCTTCAGTCTCCCCCAATAAATATCCTATAAAAAGGAGTGCCTGGGTGGTTCAGTCGGTTGGGCATCCAACTTTAGCTTCATGATCTCGCGGTTTGTGAGTTTGAGCCCCGTGTCAGGCTTGCCACTATCAGTGCAGAGCCTCTGTCCCCACCCCCCCTCTCTGCCCCTCCCCTGCTCACTCGCATGCACTCTCTCTCTCTAAATAAAAAACTTTAAAAAGAAACTTTAAAAAATCCTATAAAACAATAAACTACCAGCATAACTCTGGGAATGGCTGATACTGTTCATCTTTATCTTTCAGCTTATCCTCTATTCCCTCCCATGTAATCCAAAAATGCTTGTCTGGCATCTAGACCTCTGAAATAAATGGCACTCCAGAGAAGATATGTTCAGTTCTGAAGTGAACCCACAGAAAAGACCAGATACTATTCCAAGAATATTGATTCAGGAGCAATGATCACAGATCTGAATAGGTTTACCCCTTTGTAGATGTCCACAGCCAGTGTCGAGTTATCGTCAGGAAAGAGGCTGGTGTGGGGACTGCTCGCATTTCTACAGACTGCAACCTGGAATGCAAGCAGTTTAGGAGCAACTTTTATTTTTGAGGCAAGGACCAGATCAGAAGAACTCTCCAGCAAATCACAAACTACACGTCATACTCAAGTCATCTATGAGACCTAGGGTGGAGGTAAGACACCGGATACACGTTGTAAAGGGAGGAGAGACTGGCACCAATGTCACGTGTGGTCTTCTTCCATAATCTTTCTACACCCCCCTGCCATCAAAAATATTTACCGAGTGAAGAGTGTGCATGGTAATACGTGAATGCTGGCTCACTTTAAGCGATGACAGGAGGAGAGGGCCCCTAAGAAACAGGAGAGGACTCCTGAGTCAAAGCAGAGCCAGAAGTCTGAGTTCCTATAGACAGGCAATCAGGAATCAAGACGACAGAGAATTCAAAATGCAAAAGAGTGAGGAAAAAAAAAAATGCCAAAGAGTATATCTTAGGCGGTTTCTGTTTTCTGTTTGTTGACTCCTCCCCACTTGTCCTCATCACCAAATGGCAGGACTGGCAAGCAGGCTGGCAGTTGATAAACAGGAAACAAAAGGGGATGACAAAGAGCCAAACAGACACGAAGCCACTAACAGCAACATGAGGCAATCTTTAATCTGAGGCAAGCTCTCTTCTGTGCCAAAAGATGGGAAAAATGGGTCTAGGCTTAGTCTGCCCCCAGACTCCAGACCCTAACTAGTGCAGTGATTAGGGGGCAGCCCTGCGGTTGGAGATCTGTTTCCCCTGAGCTTCAAGTCACTGTCATTCTGCCTACCCCACTCCTTCACTTATCCTCACATTCACTACCATTCACGACCCTGGCTTACTCACCACCTGGTCGTTGGTTTTTTCAAAAAATGCTTCGGCAAAGACGGAGACGACAAAGACGTTGATGATGAAGGAAACAAAGAGAGCAATGCAGGATTCAATGAAAAAGTACTTATTAGCTTCTCGTACCTCCTGCTTATTGGCTCGGTTTACCTGTCTGGACTAGAGAGAGGACAGCAGTAGTCGTTAATTAGTTAGAACAAGTCTCCTCGTAATATTGCATGAGTTTGGAGTCAGAGGAAAGATGCAGAGGGCAAAACAACTGACCATATGAAATGTGAGAAAACGCACTTCAACATCCTAGTTCATGAAGTGAGGAAGAACTTCGTGACACCTTGACAACGTTGGGCATGCCCCAAACAGGAAATGATGACTATGAGCTCTCAGTTATTGTGGCCAGAAGAACCACCGACATACAAAAACAACCTGATTTTCAGTCCTAATAACCTTAATTATAAAGGTCTCTGAAATCTCCCAGCGAACTACTGTAGAAGACTGACTGAGAAAAGCTTTGTTGGGTACTTTACTTCTGATCTCCTCACGGTCACTCAGACTTTTGAGATTCAAACACAAGAGACTTGGTGTACTTTTGGACCTTTTAGGTAGAACTTTAGTCCCAGTTTTTCCGTGGGGTCGCTTATGTCTGGTCACCTTTGTGATAAAAACAGTCTGAGTGTGTGGAGTTTATAAACACCCAACTGTGGAAAAATACTTCTCTCCTTTAGGGCTCTAACAGTTTTAAACTATGCGTGTGTCCCTTGCAACTGAAGGAACCATCAACTACCTGGGGGGGCATGGAGATAAGGGCCATGCTCACCTTGACTAAGGCAGAATGCAGGTACATATTGTGTGGCATGATGACAGCTCCCACGATGCCCACAGCCTGCTCGATCTGTGGGGTGTGACAGCCTGGACAGGATGGCAGGAACATGCCCTTGAGTACCTGGCTCTGGCTGGGTTTCACTGTAACATACTATATGCCAACATAACAACTATTAGGATATGAGACCGGGGCAGTAACACAGTACTAGGAAACACTCAGCATCCATTGTTCCTTACAATACTTTCTTCAACAACTACCTGGAATAATGAGGAACACAGAACCATTAGGAAACCAAGAAGCATAAGAGGGGCTTGCTGCCAGAGGTCTGAGAATTCAGGACTGGGGTACCCAGACACTTTACATCACATTTTAAATATACAAAGTAGATGTGTGGAGAATGTAATTAACATTCTAAAGAAACAGTCAGCAGCTGCTAAGGGCCTCACTGATAGCAGCTTCACAACCACTCCTGGGAGACAGACCCAAGAATACAGTCAATTCTTGATTACCCACACTCATGCCTCTATTCACCTATGTTTATCTAAAAATCATTTATGTTTGCCACTAACATATGCTGAGACTCATTCATGAATACTTCCCATACATACTTTTTCCTGGTTCCGCATTTCTCTTGGAAGCCTTAGACTAACCTATTGCATAATCTATTCACAGATTAGATACACTTTTCCAAGTTTAGTGAGGCCATTAAGCAAAAATCAGTTCATAACAATTGAACATAGGGGCGCCCAGGTGGCTCAGTTGGGTAAACATCCAACTCTTGATTTCGGCTTAGGCGATGATCTTAAGGTTCATGAGATCGAGCCCCAAGTGGGGCTCTGGGCTGACAGGGTGGGTGGAGCCTGCTTGGGATTCTCTCTCTCCCTCTCTTTCTGCCCCTCCCCTGCTCACGTGTACACGCATGCTTTCTCTCTCGCTCTCAAAATAAATAAATATTTAAAAAAACAATTGGACACAGAAAGGTACTATTACTGCATAAAACGGTACTGATTCCTAGGAGCAGCTGGGTTGGGGCACAAAGCAGGAAACGTCGGCTATATCCCTTAGAGTTCATTAACTGTTGCAATACAGAGAAAGTTCAAGCTGCAGTTGGTATAAGCCAATATAAGTAAAACCCCTCCAAGTTCACAGCCAGGAATAACCCTGCTTCCTCCCTAGCCCTCTCCCAGGATGCTCTATTGTTGGGATGGCCAACTTGGAACCAGAGAGTCTAGTCAAGGAAGTCCTAAAAAATCTAGTCACTTTTGAACTAGGAGCGCCGGCAGGCCTTCCTGGAGACTAGCCTTTGCTACAGATCCTATTCCTTCAAAACTAGCCTAGACTGAATTGGCTTTTTGTTAATGCATGGGATACAACTAAACCATCATAGCATTATATGATTGTAAATAAAAGGCAAAAAAAATCTTTCCTTTGTTGTAAAAGCTAACGAACAGCCTATAATACTTGCCTCATATCCAAATGTGAGGGCCATAATAGTGATGAGAAAGCCAAAAAATGCTTCTAGCTTCCGTAAGCCTAAAAGGGAAAATGCAGCAGTGAGCTCACAGAAGGCAGACTTCTCCATCAGCTACATGATGGAAAGTAGATTCTTTGACCCCTCCATTCCCACTCTCCTTACCGTACTTGTCCAAAAAGAGAAATACAAAGGTATCTGCAATGGTGATGAGAACTCCACCCCACAGAGGAACCCTAGGTCAAAGGTAAGAAATGGAGATTAAAAGAAAGAAAGAAAACATTGAGAAACACTTTCTCTCCAACAGGTCTCCAGATATACAATACTTGGAGAAGCAAGGACTTGGGGGAGAGGCGACAGTGGTGGGAGGTCAGGCCTTGGGTAGTTTGGGATCACAGCACCAACTGAATTATTTACATTCATTCCAACACTGATGGTCTACTAAGTCAGACATTTCGGATACACAGCTGAAAAGTATAGGTCTTACCCCTCTAGGAGCTCACTGTCTAGTGGGTTAAGCTGATATACAGATAAATAATTGTAACACACAATGTCACATACTATACAATAGTGGGATGTATAACCCAACATGAGAACATGGGACATATAGAGCCTACAGGCTGCTGGGAGAGAAGGTGGCTCCAGAAAGGCTCCACAGAAAAAAATAATACTCAAGTTGAACCTTGAAAACTGAAAATGAGTTGGGTGGTTTTTACATTTGTTTTGAAATTTAGCAAAATATTACTCTCTGGAGGAAAACCCCCTCACCTTCCTACAGACAGGAGATTGATGGCAATGGCTGAGCCAATAACTTCTTGCATATCTGAGCCAATGATAGCCAACTCCACCATCAGCCATAGGATAATTCGTGGGACCTAAATACCAAACAGCAGAAAGACATGGTTCTAATTAATCATTTCTAAGAACATTCCTTAGAGTTTGGAATTCACATCTGGCACTGACCCATCCACAGTCCTTTATAAGCTTCCAGTCTAGGGATGGACTACTGCGCTGTGGCCCCCCGCTAGAGAAAGCAAGGGTGTTTCTACGTGGTAGAACCTATGAGCCGAGGTCAGGGCAAGGGCTGATCCTAATTTTTTCTCTTTCCCTTCCACTCAAGAGAGGAACAGAATTTCCATTCATTAATTTCCACTTAATTTCCCGCCTAAAAACAAACTTAGAAGTTTTAGGGGAAGATGAGGATGCTCATATGGTCAAAATAATTGTTCAGGAGAGAACAGAAAATGACCACAAGAGAAAATATCTTGACCGTGGCTAAAGAGACAAAACAAAAATGAAAACGCTGGGGTCATCTTTAATGTAATAATAATACACAAGCAAGTGAAAAAGGACAAACATGTAAAGAGATTTAGGGTGAACTGATTGGAATTGAGTGGCATATAAGAGGAAACTAATCTGGTCAAATAATCCAGCTCAAAGACAAATTTAGTTAATACTGGCTAGCAGAGGTCAAGAAAAAACAAACAAACAAACATCTTCAGGTATTGACTATACAAAAAAATTGTCACAAAAAACAACTGTTAAGATACATGAAGAAAAAGAAGCTACAAGAAATTATAAATTACCGTGGCTTTTTTGAGAAGCATATATGGGGAAATAAAGCAGATACAGATAGTTTCTCACAGCCATGAAAGGAGATTAAACATTTAGGACAAACCAGAGGCAGATCAGTATCTTATCTAAAGATGAACCTAGGTTAAAACTATCTTCCAGACACAGAGTCCATTCCTGCCTTACATAGCAGTGAGAAAGGGCCAAAATGTCCAGAAAAAAGCTGCAGAAGACAGTATAACCTCCAGGATCATGGTAAATTGAAAAATAATTATTAACAAATCCAAAGATCCTGCCACATATAGTAAATAAAATGAAAAACCTTATTTTTCAAATTGATGACAAAGTCAATCAAAAAAGAAAATATGTATGATAGTAATAAAGATGTATGACTCAAAGTTCTTAGAGCACTCCCACCCCTCCATGGGCTGGGCACTGCAAGATGCCAGAAGGCAGAACGAATGGCAGGTATTTATGCAAACTGAGTTTTTCGAAGGAAGCTTTCTGGCAAAAAGCGAATCTCAAGTTAAATTCTGAAGGAGTAGAGAAATATGGGTTGGCAGCAAGAGGAACTAAATAATATTCCTTGGGACTCATCCTCAGGGCCCCTGACCGCCAAGCCCTCAGGCCAGCACGTATCACCAGACACACAGGTTCCTATGAGATGAGTAACAAACAGCACACTACATTGCTCACCCTGGGATACTGACGGTGACACACTTCAGCAAGATGCAACCCCGTGACCACTCCCAGTCTAGCTGCAAGGCGCTGGAGTAGGAGCCCCACCATGGTGGCCAACAGAAGAACCCAGAGCAACTAGAAAAGAACAAAATCCCATCATAACACTCATTAGACAACTGGGGTGTTTTTGTTTGGCTGTTTAGCAACATGAATGAGAAATACAACATTCAGGAAAGAGCCCAGATCCAGAATCAAATGACCTGAGTTCTGTATCAGGTTCTGTACATAACCTGCTAGGTCACCTCATACCTTTCTGAGTCTTAGTTTCTCCCACCTACAGTTTCTCCTTTGTTCAAGGAAACTATGTGGAGTAGATAAAACAAAACAAAAATTTAAAACCAAATATGTGTCCAAAATAAATTAAGGGGCACCTGGGTGGCTTGGTCAGTTAAGCATCCGACTCTGGCACAGTACATGATCTCAAGGTTCGTGAGTTTCAGCCCCACATGGGGCTCATTGCACACAGCTCAGAGCTTGGAGCCTGCTTTGGATTCTGTGTCTCCCTCTCTCTCTGCCCTCCTCCGCTGGCGCTCTCTCTCTCTCTCTCTCTCTCTCTCTCAAAAATAAATAAACATTAAAAAAAATTTTTTTTAATAAATTAAAAAAAAAAAAACAGAAGGGTGACTCAATCAGTTGAGCATCCAACTTCAGCTCAGGTCATGATCTCACAGTTCTTGAGTTTAAGCCCCACATTGAGCTCACTGCTGTTCAGTGAGGAGTATGCTTCAGATCCTTTGTCCCTCTCTCTCTGCCCCTCACCCACTCACATTTTCTCAAAAATAAATAAACATTTAAAAAAAAAAAAAAAGCAGATGGTGGAAAGTACTTTTCACCTAAGCATTACTGCCAATGAAGTATTTGCATGTAACTCCCAAGGCTGACATCCGACAGGCATTGTAAGGGGGAAAGGATGTGAGGGTGTACTGTGTGTTTAAAAGGGACAGGGGTAAGACCAGATATTCACCTTAAATCCAGCCACCGCTCCAGACTGCAAATCAGACTCGATGTTTCCTGGATCCAAGTAGGCAATACTCATAAGAAAGCCCGGTCCCGTGAAAGCCCAGAGTTTACGAAAGCTAAAACAAGAATACTATACGAGAGAGGAAGACATCAAACGAATTACCACCTCCAAATTACTGATCTAATTTATCTGTTATTTTGTTACATATAAAACAACAATATGAGCTTCATAAGATCGAAAGACTTAGGATGTTGGACACTGCGTGCGTCCAAGTTCAACTTCCATGTTACCCACTTCTTATCAATAAGCTACCTCTTCTCTGTCCAAATAGGAGCCCTTTCTTTACCTCTTCTTTCCATCAATCAGCCTCTCAGTCTAAAACCTATCAGTACCCCTATGCCCAATCACTACCCAAATGGGACACTGTAAAAAAAAAAAGAACATGAAATTCATACTTCTAGATCAAAAAATATTCACTAGGTCAATGTGGCAACTGTTTTTCAAGGCCCTCATTTTCCCAAACAGTTTCTACTTATTCTGATTACGAAAGCTGTCTTCAGAGACTGCTTGCCAAAATTAGATGTGAGGCCATTAATCTTGAGTTATCCAGCAGACTTTTCACTCCTAAGTTTTCTCTAAATAAAGTTTTCCTCCAAAGATTTGTCACTAACCTCCTCTTCAGGAATGGCAATCTTCTCATCAAAGTAGGTGGTGAAGGGCTCCTGTGAGTGCCCAGTGGACTGGGAAAGAGATGAGTTACTATAGGCAGGGTTGAGGGTACCAAGACTGGCAGGGTCCCCATGGTCTCCAGAAGCATCATCTAAATTAACAAATTTGAGAAGAAATGAAAATGAGCAAAATACACTGACAACTCATCCTTAGTAACTTTTAAATTAAATCTTTTTTTTTTTTTAATTTTTTTTTTCAACGTTTATTTATTTTGGGGACAGAGAGAGACAGAGCATGAACAGGGGAGGGGCAGAGAGAGAGGGAGACACAGAATCGGAAACAGGCTCCAGGCTCTGAGCCATCAGCCCAGAGCCCGACGCGGGGCTCGAACTCACGGACCGCGAGATCGTGACCTGGCTGAAGTCGGACGCTTAACCGACTGCGCCACCCAGGCGCCCCTAAATTAAATCTTTTAATACCTAAATGCACAAGACCAAGCTGACTCTACTCAATTTATTTCTAATATTTTATTTATATTTTTAATAAACTAATTCCTTTCTTAAAAGTTTATTTATTTTGAGAAAGAGAGCACCAGTGGGGGAGGGGCAGAGAAAGAGAGTGAGAGAGAGAACCTCAAGCAGGCTCCATGCTGGCAGCACAGAGCCCAATGCAGGGCTCAAACTCACGAACCGTGAGATCATGACCTGAGTCAAAGTCAAGAGTCAAATGCCTAACTACTGAGCCACCCAGGCGCCCAAAATAAGTGAATTCTTTAATAGGCGATATATTCACAGGGATGGAAATTCAGGAAATAAAAAAAGCTTATGGTAACAAAGCTCCTTCTCACCCCTCTTCCCCAGTCACTCAGCTCTAGATCAGTTTTAACACTCATCCTGCAATGGTTTTCCTACTTTCACACTTCTATATTCCCAGGTAGCAATTTTTAGAACCACTTCATTTTCTTCTAAAAACACGGATGTCTAGGGCTCAAAATATAACATTCCCAGGCTGGTAAAACCTAAAATCTTAACTTTTAGAAGAAAGGAACTAAGTCTGTCTAGTTCTGTCTCCAACCCATCATTTGGTAGGACTTACTCAAAGCATCATCCTTGGACATTATACCTCTGTCAGGCTTCTCAATAAATGTGGAAGTTGAAAAATCCTGCCACAGTTCAAGCTAAAATCTGAACCTGTAGGAAAGCCACCAAGCAGGAACCCTTTGCCTCCTGACTACGGTCTGCAGTGAAGAGCTTTGGGTCACGGGGTGTGGGCACCCTTGTGATAGGAGGTCTCATCTTAGACTGGTAATCAGTGTTTCCCTGAGTCCTGCATTTCGCAGTTAATCTTAAGTGCTGGGAAGGGGAGGGTCTGGAAGAAAAGGGCTAATCTGCCAGAAAGTAGTTTGGTAGCCATCAAATGGCTATTTTGAACCACAGAGCTCTCTAATGTTAGGGTTTCCAAGAAATCCTTGCAACCTCCAATTAGAACAACAAAAGCTTTCTTTCTATAAGGAGCTGACCCACTGAGGTGAAGTGGCCCTGAATTAATGAAGATATTTAAAGAAAAGGAATGAAAATTCTAAAGGGGACATTTAGAATTCGGAAGGATTAGAGCACTCAAGAAGCTCTAATGGAATACACAGTTTAAGGTGCTTGCTCGGTATTTTATTGCTCCTCACGTTAAGTATCTGCAGTGCTGTGAAAAGCCAAAGCATTCTAAAGAATTTTATGCCAGGTCTGTGGTTAATACTGCCCTTGCAAGCATTACTGCTATAGAAACCAAACTTGTAGCTAATCTTGGCTCATCTCAGAATTGGAAATAAGACAGGAGACAGATCTCTCTAGTTATAAATCCATTTTCATTTACAGCCTAAATTAGCAGATGGTGACTGGATCGGACCTGATTGGAGCAGGTCTCTGTGATGATACTGTTGGCTAGGGAAGCGGAGTTAAGGACAGTTTTTGTTACCACAGATGACAAGAAGGAAAATATGGTCAATTTCTGTTACTGATTTAAACCTAATTCCAGGGTGCCTGGGTGGCTCAATTGGTTAAGCGTCTGACTTCAGCTCACGTCATGATCTCATGGTTCGTGGGTTCGAGTCCCTCATCGGGCTCTGTGCTGACAGCTCAGAGCCTGGAGCCTGCTTCAGATTGTGTGTCTCCCTCTCTTTCTGCCCCTCTCCCATTCATGATTTGTTTCTCTCTCTCTCTTTCAAAAATAAGCATTAAAAAAATTAAAATAAAAAAAATAAACTTAGTTCCAAATAAAAATCAGACAATAACACAAAGCTGTAAATTACCATCTGGCATCTTCTGTTCAGGACCCAATACCATGGTGGATGACTGAGTGTCCAAGTTCTTAGAATAGGATTCTGAAATGGAGAAAAGGAAGAGAGGAATCAGCAAGAACAAACTAAAAGTTTAGAACCAGCATTTTGTTACTCTGTACAACTGATCCCGTATTATATGAAAAGAATTAATCCTTCTACTGAATTAGATAACCTAGAAAATAATTAGTTTTCAGAGTATGATTGAGATATTTAATAAAAATATAAAAGTCTTGCTAATAAGACTTCTAAGCCAAACTGAAGCAAAAGGTGTTTCAGGGAAGTAGGCAAATACTTTTTAATAAGCATCCACAGAGAGGCTGCTAGGCGATTCCCCAGTTTCTGCCCTTTGCTTCCAGATTAACTCAAATATTTAAAACCAGATTGGTCCCCCTGCCTTTTACAAGTTTTTTATTTTAATTTTTTTTTATGTTTATTTATTTTTGAGACAGAAAGAGACAGAGAATGAACGGGGCAGGGTCAGAGAGAGAGGGAGACACAGAATCTGAAGCAGGTTCCAGGCTCGGAGCTGTCAGCACAGAGCCCGACGCGGGGCTCGAACTCATGAACGATGAGATCATGACCTGAGCTGAAGTCGGACGTTTAACCAACTGAGCCACCCAGGCGCCCCAAAGGACAAAGATCTGTAACCCTTTTTGATCTAGGAAACAATTTAAGCCCATGCTTCAATTTTCTGAGAAGGGGGGAGAAAAGGAGGGCCATTATTCCCCAGGCTCATATTTCCCTGAGGAGAGAGAGACTTCTCCTACGACATTTCTCATTCCCTAACCCTTCAACAACTGGGAGCAGAAACTAATCACCATGGCCTTCCCTTCTTGGGCTCTCAGGGAAAGATGAGGTACCAGGAGGAGTAGGCACAGTCTGCAGGATGCCAGAACTTCTCTCTGGCCTGCAAGGCCCAGGTGGGGGTCGGGGGACAGGGGGATGAGTGGTTGTCCCAGAGGTCCAGCACCCTGTTGGGTTAAGTTTAACTGGGGAGAGGGGAAGATGGTAGTAAGCTCATCTAGCCACAGATCTATGGAGTATTCTCCAGTCAACCCCACCAATCAGGATGATTTTTTAACATTTTGATCTGCTTATTAAGGAATTTATTTCTCAGTTGATTTCAAATTTAGAAGGAGAAAGACAAGGCAATATTTATTGTTTTTTTAAAAAAAAATTTAACGTTTATTTCTGAGACAGAGAGAGAGCATGAGCGGGGAGGGGCAGAGAGAGAGAGAGAGAGAGAGAGAGAGAGAGAGAGAGATACAGAATCCGAAGCAGGCTCCAGGCTCCGAGCGGTCAGCACAGAGACCGACACGGGGCTCGAACTCACAAACCGCGAGATCACGACCTGAGCCAAAGTCGGCCACTCAACCAACTGAGCCACCCAGGTGCCCTAAGGCAATATTTATTGTTAACCCTAACCCCCACTTAAATCCCAATAAAAACTATCCTCCTAAAAAGTTATAAAGCCTCTCCTTAGATATCTTTTACTGTATAAAGTCTTCATCTCTCTTGTCCCTTGTTCCTATCTGAACATTCCTCTACTTTCTTTTTTACATAATCTATCTACCAACATATTCTGTACCTATTTTAAAGAATTACAGAATTCAGACCTGAAGGGTTTTAGGTTTCATCTATCTTCCCGATGTAAAACATACTACCACTTACTAATTTGGAAAACATAATCTTTTACCTCTATAATCACCAATATCAAGTATTTTGTTGCAATGGACAACTAGCCATGTCCCTCCTATCAGGTTTTAAGACACCAGATGTCGAAAAACCAGCCAACAGATGCCAGTAATACTGATGATATTCAACCCCTCTTTAGCACCTCATCTAAATGAGATTTACATAGCTGACCACTCAGAGTAGCAGTAGCCACTTGGATTCCAATCACAGCACAGCCCTTTGGCCCCATTCAGAGCCTTTTTATTTTACATAGAATTCTAAGAAGCTAGGTTATCAGGTTATCCTAACCCATCATAAATTAGGCACTGCAAATCAGCTTTGGGACTATGGCTCTTACGGGAAAAGGTTTTGGGCCACTTGGTGTGAGGTAAAGAGCCCTTCTTTATACTTTGATCAACTCTGAGAACATTATTATTACTTAAAATTATGTTATTAATATTTTATTATGTATTATGTTATTATCAAGAATAACTCAACTTTCTTCCAATGTGGCCCCACTCACCAAGAACTGACTAAATTAGATTACTTTTATAGTGATGACTGAGAGCCTCTTTAAGGCACAGAATTGTTTAATGCATCTGGTGAAATTTTCTCCCCAAAATAAGCTTTTAAATTAAATTCTGAGAACAAACAATTCAGATAGTACTCTGTTTTTCCCCAAGCCTACAGTCTACAAAGGTGATAAATAATTTTAGACAGAAATATTTCATGATAAAATTTTTTACAATTGTTATTTGTATTCTATGGGACTATTCCTATACTAACTACATACAGAGCCAATAAGATACAAGAAGTCTGACCTTCTCTCTGAAATCTCAGGAATGTATTATTTTAAGAAAGGAAAAGAGATTATAGATTCCATTTTTCTCATCAAAACTTGCAGTTAACAAACTATAAGTTCCACTGTTTCCAGTGTCTACAGAACATAACGAGAGCAGGGAATAGAGAAGGTCAGTTATGCTTGGTATTTAAATCTCCATGAAAATTTAAGACTCATATGGAAGCACTGAGTTAATATTAAGACAGTTTTCCTCCCTAGGACTATGCCACCAGATCATTTCAGTCATTTAACTACATTAATAAAAAGATCAAGTTGAAATATAAGCAACCAGAATCAATCCAGCAATACTTGGTAATTATGATTAATATACCTTTGATAATATTCTAGCTCACCCTCAACCATAAAGCGTCACCTTCTTCCAAAGCCAGTAAGTTTCCTCCTGTCAAACAGCAACAACAGAAAAAATGGCACTCCTGGATACATGTACTATAAACTGTTTTATCCCATTCCTTATCAAAAGTTGTAAGAATGAGGTGCCTGGATGGCTCAGTCGGTTGAGGGTCCAACTCTTGATTTCGGCTCAGGTCATAATCCTGGGGTCGTGAGATAAAGCCCCATGTCAGGCTCCTCACTGAGCATGGAGCCTGCTTGGGATTCTCTCTCTCCCTCTACCCCTCTCCAACTTGTGTGTACCCACTCTCTCTCTCTTTCAAGACAAAAAAAGCTGTAAGAATGTTTACAAGTGGGGTGCCCGGCTGGCTCAGTCGGTAGAACAATAGAGCCATGTGACTCTTGATCTCGGGGTCATGAGTTCAAGCGCCACATTGGGGTCATGAGTTCAAGCCCCACATGAGATCAAGCCCCACAGAGATTACTTTCAAACAAATGTTTTACAAGATAAAAAGGCTAATAAAATTACATTTTCTGTCTCAAATGTTAAAAGCACCCTTTGACCCAGCAATTCTGTTTCTAAGAATGTATCCTAAAGAAACACTCATACAAGGAAGTATGTGCAAGGAAATTTCCTGTAACTCTGTTTGTAGTATCAATAGACTAAAAACAACCTTGATATCAGTCAAAGACTGGTTAAATAGACTACGTACATTCACAGGATAGAATGCCATGCGGCTATTATAATAGAGCATATCTAACTGTACTGACAGAAGACAATCTCCAAGATATATTTTCAAGTAAAAAATCCAATTTATAGACAGTATGGAATCATTTATATGGCAAGAAGAAAAAAAGAGGAGGGGGGCGCTGGGTGGCGCAGTCGGTTAAGCGTCCGACTTCAGCCAGGTCACGATCTCGCGGTCCGTGAGTTCGAGCCCCGCGTCGGGCTCTGGGCTGATGGCTCAGAGCCTGGAGCCTGTTTCCGATTCTGTGTCTCCCTCTCTCTCTGGCCCTCCCCCGTTCATGCTCTGTCTCTCTCTGTCCCAAAAATAAATAAACGTTGAAAAAAAAAAAGTAATAAAAAAATAAAAAGAAAAAAAGAGGAGGGATGATAATATACATACGTACATGTATGGACTATCTCTCAAGGACATACCAAAAACTAATAATGCTGTCCCCAAGATGAAGGAGTAGGGAAGTACAAACAAGGTCAGGTGAAAGGAAGACCTCTCACTGAATATACACCATATATACCATTTTGCACTTAAAAAAAAAATCATTTTGTCATGTACTTGTACCATTTATTTATTTTTTAATGCAAAAGTCCTATGGATTCACTCAGCTTCCAAACAAATACTTTCAGAATGTGTAGATGAACTCTGACAAAACTTCTGTAATGGATAATCAGAGATCTGCAGCTGTCCAGCTGGCAGGCATATAATATACTATCTTAAGCTTAACTTATTACTACTTTGTCTTAGTGCCCAAACAGCCATGCTCTGAAATGATGAATTGGGAATTTCACTTGAATGCAAAAATTAGAAGCTGCCTTGTCAGGAGTTTCCTGACTCCTTAATTTGGGTATCCCCCCAAACACATACTAGCCATAATCAATTCTGAACATCTAATTAACATTATCTCATGTGTTCTCTTAGCATTCACAAGAACTCTGGAAGAACAGTTAATTTTTTAAAGAACAATTTAGATAGCCCAAATCTGTTTTTAAATTGCCCCCAAGAAAGTTGAAATACTGAATGTTAAAAAACATGTAAGTTAAGGGGCGCCTGGGTGGCTCAGCTGGTTAAATATCTGACTCTTGGTTTCAGCTCAGGTCATGATCTCATGGTTCCTGAGATGGAACCGGCCATAAGTTGGGCTCCACACTGACAGTGCGGAGCCTGCTTGGGATTCTCTCTCTTTCTCCCTCTCTCTCTGACCCTCTCCTGCTGGTGCACAAACTCCCTCTCTCAAAATAAATAAATAAATCTGGGCACCTGGGTGGCTCAGTCAGTTAAGCATCTGACTTCAGCTCAGGTCATGATTTCACGGTTTGTGAGTTTGAGCTCTACGCTGACAGCTCAGAGCCTGGAGCCTGCTTCGGATTCTGTGTCTCCCTCGCTCTCTGGACCTCCCCTGCTCCCACTCCTCACTTGCTCTCTCTCTCTCAAAAATA